CTCTTGTTTGCTTATCTTTTCCTTTTGGGTGTTTATTCCGCTCTCTAACAGAAGCTGTGAGTTATAGAACTAACCAGCTTCACATCAGCCTCTTGGGTGTGCAGACAATGTTTTGGGCTCTGCACATTCTGAAACCAAAGAGCATTCATGAGTCCTTCCATACTGGTGATGTGGAGTGCTAGGTCAGGATTGGTGTAACAGACTTAGGGGTCAACGATGATTTACTTGGCCTGATCTTGTTATTTTATGTTTCTCTTGGGAATATGATGTGTTTATAAAAGAACTTTTGGAAACCCGAATGCTTCAAGTTTTGACTCAAGTTGGTTAAAAACACTAAGTTCAGATTCCTGCATTGAAGATCATTTAGTAAAAACCAATATGGAAAGCCTTATCTAGAAAATAAGTCTCTATCTAGTACCTTTGATTAACCAAATCCTTTTTTGTTTGTTTGTTTTTACAATTTCATCCAAGAATAAGATTTTCTTAAACTATGAAAGCCTCAAACCAATTTTGTAGAGACTATGTCTATTTGTCTGCTTGAAATTACGTTTGTAACATAATCTTCTATCCCTTTCTGAATTTTTGCTCTTGGCTGTGTTTTTTCTTTTTTAAGTCAGCCAGTATTATTCTTAATTAGAAATTTAAATTACATCTGCAGTTTCTACACACCAGGATATATATTTATGTAATACTGTTAGACAGCCAAGATATTTTTCATAATTTCAACATGACATTTTTTCATAAAGGATTTATTGACGAGGCTTCATAAAAATTGTGCCAGAATGTCTGCAGGAGAAGCAGTTGTGTAGCTCAGGAGAGACCTCACAAAGAAAACATTTCTTGAACATATATATATATATATTTATAGAGTAGGAAAGTATTTTTTCTTTTGTGCTATTTTTTATCTGTACTCCCTTATAGTATATCTCAATGATATGTGCGGTTGGAAAGTGAAAACAACCTTACAAATTGAGAAATTCCATTAAATTTCAATGAGGTAATTAAGGAAACTCATTTTCAAAGATATACATTTATTTCAGTAGCTTGAATGTTGCTTAATCAGGAAATGACCAGAATACTAAACACTGAAAGGTAGGTTGTGCTTGTGCAGCTTGGCAGCTTTGAGAGTCAGACAGCTAAAAGGGATGACATGGAGGTTAAAACAGCAGAGGCCCTTGATGTGGGTGGAAACTAATTGGCTCTAAAGCATGAATAAGTTATATGTTATTCATGTCAAGGAAAAGCTAGGAGAAAAGGGATGAATATTTGTTTCTACCAAGGCATTATACTCTGCCATATGATATAAGAAACAAAAAACAGATCCTTAGATTTATGCTCTTCTTCCTTATAGCAAGTAAGAGGAACAGAAGCACAATTCATTGGCAGTGCTTTCTTCTGAATATTATGTTTTAGACTTGGCATTTTCAGCCAATAAAATATTACTAAGATGGTTGCTAAGAAATTCACTAACATAAAACATTTATTACAGGGACCATTGTCCTTGATCCTGGGATTATGTTTAAGTGATTTCAATTAAAACCTCTGATTTGTGGCTAGATAATTCTCTTCCTCTTTTCACATCCCTCTATCATGCCTGGGAATCCGTAGCCTACACATTGGCCACAGATTGACTATAGCCCTGTTTTGAAGACTAAAGATTCTAATATGATATTATTAGACTTGAACTTAATCAGATTAGATATTGTAGAATTAAATCTTTAAAAAAGATATTAATTTTACTTCCCAAATATTTTGTAAAAGTTTTATGAGAGAGCCCCATGAAGCTTGGAAAATTTTTTATGAAGCTCCTCTTAGCAACATCTTCGCAAACATTTTTTTTTTTTTTTTTTTTGCCATTTTTAGAGCCTATACTTTAAGCCTCAATTTGCTATTCTTCTCTAAAGTTTTCTATCCCTCTGGGATCTCTGACTCTCCTCCATTTTAAATCTCTCACTACTCCTTTCATCTCACTTTGATGATTGTTTGGATATCCTTGTGGTGTGTTCTCATGGTTTCATGAATGGTTCTTAACTAAAGCATAAGCTCTGTTAAAGTGGTTGGTGTCTGTGTTTTGGTATTGTCCCTAACACAGCAAGTCTATAGGTGCTCAGTTAAATTAAGTTCATTACTTTGTTTGGAAATCTATCAAGAGGCTGAAATTAAGGACAGTCATATAACATGCTTTCTATATTGAGCTGAAGAGTTAGCTACAGTACCTGACTGGTCTGAGTCAAAAGTCCAGGGTTTGCGTCTCAGCACTATTGCTCAAAATAACCTCATGATCATTGACATGTTTCTTTAGCAGTGGTTTCTTAACCCCTAAAAATCCCGTTTAGTGCAGATGTTCAAAGTCAGCTTGTCTGATCTATAGCCGTGGTTCTCAAAAGTGTGGACCCGCCAAAACCGGCTTGGCTCAGTGGTAGAGCTTTGGTCTGCAGACTGAAAGGTCCCGGGTTCGATTCCGGTCAATGGTATGTACATTGGTTGCGGGCACATCCCCAGTAGGGGGTGCGCAAGAGGCAGCTGGTCAATGTTTCTCTCTCATCAATGTTTCTAGCTCTCTATCCCTCTCCCTTCCTCTCTGTAAAAAATCATAAAATATATATATATTTTAAAAAAGTGTGGTCCCCAGATCGAGAACACCAGTATAACCTAGAATTGTTAAAAATGCAAAGTTATCAGACCTCACGCCAGACCTACTGAATCAGAAATTCTGCCCTTTAACATATCTTTCAGGATCCAGGTGATTCTGCTGCACACTAAAGTTTAAGTATGACTGATTTGCAGTATAGTCAAATCCCTGGTATGGTAAGAAGCTCCACACTACAATTTTAGTGAACACTGAGGATTGTGCCATCGTTTCATGGTTGGCGTGCAAACCCATTATCTCATGTTTCATCTTTAAGACTCTGTAGAATGGCTCACTTTGGTGTCATATTCAAGTCTGCAAGGTGCTATCCACAGAATTGTAGCTCTCAGGCTCCTATAAAGTGTTGGCAATTGAGGAGTGAAAAATCTTTCTTAGGGTGAGCAAAGAATATGCAGTGGACAAGGGATTAATTTCCAGCAGCAGCAGCCTCCTGATTTTGTATTCATAACGTTGCATGTATGCTAGGCTGCACATGCAACATCTGCTGATATACATTAGGTAATTGGGCATCCAGCAGCCCCATTTGTATGCAAAGGTGGTTGCACACCTCCCATTTACAAGTTTAAAATTAAAGCCCAGTTTGAAGCTGGCTGAAGGCTCGCTGCTAGGAACATAAAATAGATAAGGAAGAAATGGCTTCTGGTAATCAGCGCTTTTGGCCTCTCCTGTTCAATCTTTGCTAATTTGTCCTTTGAAATTGTACATTTTGTGTTGAAGAGAGACTTCTAAGATTATCTGTTTTTGTTGTTTGTGTGTGTGTGATTTTTTTTAAAGAAAACCTACATTTATAAACTGTGTTTACACATACCATTTCCCCTAACACTATAACCACATGTATGCTATAGTCAATTGCTGAGCCATATTTTTGTGATATGAACTATTTATGCTCTTGTGGAACCACATGGATCATCTCCAAGAAGAGACCCTCCAGCACAGACTCACAGACTGGGTGTTGGCATAATTTCATTTCCATTCAGCCCACATTTGTCAAGCAGCTACATTGTGTCAGGCGTTTTGCCAGAGGCTGGGCATAAACAGATCAATCACACACGGTTTCTGCTCTCAAAAGCTCACAATATTTTAACATCTTGATATCCCAGAGTTGAATATTTTTGCATAAATGAAGTCTTCTCTGATAATCCCATGAATTGAAGTGACTCCTTCCTTCTTTGAGCTCCTGATTATGCTCAACCAGTGCCCCAAGAAGAATGAGGGATCCATGCCTGGAAGACTCAGAACTCAAGCACAAGACTGTGGTCAGTGACCGCTGAGATGGGTCATCAAGAAGAGATGGCTGCACTAATCCACACCCTCATGTTCATTACAACGTTATTTACAATAGCCAGGATTTGGGAGCATTCCAAGTGCACGTTAGAGGATGAGAGGGTATAAAATTCGTTGTGCATTTACATAGTGGAATGCTACTTGGCAGTAAAAAAGAAGGAAATCTTACCTTTTGCAGCAGCATGGATGGACCTAGAGAGTATTATGCTAAGCAAAATTAGCCAGTCACAGAAAGACAAGTACCATATTATCTCACTTATATGTGAAATCTAATGAACAAAACATACGGACAACAAACTAGAAACAGTCTTATAGATACATAGAACAGACTGATAGCTGTCAGAAGGGAGTTGTGTTGAAGGGCTCAGTGAAAAAGATGAAGGGATTAAGCAAACATTAAAAATGAAAAAATAAAACCCTCATAGACACAGACAACAATATGGTGATTAACAGAGGGGAAGGTGAGGAGAGGTAGAAGAGGATAAAGGGGGAGGGGAAATAAATGGTGATGAAAGGAGATTTGACTTGGGGTGGTGAACACAATACAATATACAAATGATGTATTATAATAGGATTGTATACTTGAAACCTATATAATTTTATTGACCAATGTCACCTCAATAAATTAAATAAAAATAAAGAATAGATGGTTGCATTGCAAATGGCCCATATTCCCAGTTTGTGGGAACAAACAATTCATGAGTGTTTCTTTTACTCCCTATATGGGTCAGGTCAGTCTTGTGGAAGAGGATGTGCATCTAAAGCCACCTCAAAGGGATTTGCTCGTGAGCACCACCTAGAGGAATGGTGGATCCCTTCAAAAAGAGTTTACCAGGAGCCAACAGTGAAGTGTTGTCACCTGTCACTCTGCATGTTTTACTTTGAAAACTAGATTGTAAAGCTTCTGGAGAACAGACCTGGGTCTTAATAGGAAAAGTTATCTTCCATAGTACATATAGGATGGTGATGATAGTAAATGAGTGTATCGGCAGGAAGAATGTTTGGTGGTTTATAGACATTAGTAGTTTCTCATGATAACAAACAGTTTTCTCCCTCTTCATTCTAGCACAGGCACCTACACCTTGATAGCACCAAATGAAAACCGAAGAAAGCAGATACAAAGGAGTATGTATATTTATTTAACATTCAGAAAGCTTCTTACTCTCTTATAGAGTACAACTGATTTGTTTTGGTCTAAATTATTTTTATTTTCTGATTTGAATATACTCACCAGATCTCATCAATTTTTTCTTTAACTTTAGCAGTTTTAATTATACCTTTTAAAAATACTATTATTTATGTTTCTAAACTTGTTTCTCTAGGTTAATAGCAGAATACACTGCAGGATTGTAAATCTCAGATTTCTGTTGAGCTTAAACAGTTTGCCAATAAACCTTTTTCACGTTCCTGTAAAGTTGGGCTGATTGCAGACATTTTTATAGGACTACTAGAGGCCCAATGCATAAAATTTGGGCAAGGGTAGGCCTTTGCAGTCTTGGCTGCCTTGTAGCCCACCCGCTGCCTGCAGCTGCCTTGGCCTGGCGCTGCCTGAGTCCACCACCACACACTCTGGTTCCATGAAGCCCTCCTCCCCCTCTTTGGGGAAATTGCTACTCCCTCCTCCTCCCCCATTGATTGCTCCACTGGCCAGTGGCCTTGGCCTCCCTCTTCAAGGCGATCGTGAGGCGATAGTGGGCTCCCCAACCAATTGCATTGCACCAGCCTTGGCTGGCCTGCTGCCAGTGCCTGTCATAGCTTGGTCATCTGGAAGGTCATCCGGACAATAGTTCTGCTGTTTGGTTGTTCCGTCGATTTGCATATTATGCTTTTATTATCAAGATGATTACTTTTGAGATAGACAAGTTATATATTTAAAATAATTATGTACTTGAAATAACTTGTCTCTTTCTTGCTATGTTTAATCTCTTCATAATGGAATTATTTTTAAGCTTCTGTGCTCCCGTACTTTTGTAACTATCACAGTCTACTCTCAATTATTTTTATTTGTATACAGTAAGTAAATTCACTTCACATTTTTTATAGGTTCTGCAACTTCAAATGAAACAACATAAAATAAACCCAATTTTACCATAGACTATTTGATATAAACAAAAACTAAGTTCTTATGGCATTTATCAACATTATAATAAAAACATATTGGAGGACATGCTGTACTTCAATTTTTTTTTTTAAATTTAGATTATAAATCTTTGAGGGCAGGGACCACACTGTACTCATTTTTGTGTTTATACCTAGAAGGTATTAAGATATTTAATTGAATTGTACAGCAAAATAAATGCTGTCATTTAAAGTTATAGCATTATACACTACAGTTGGAAGGAGAACTAAAATTTAGTTTGCAAAGAAGTTACAAAGCTTGTTCAAGTCAATTGTGGGACTACCTCCTTCATTAGGTCTTTGTAGGAAATTTAATTTTATGATTAGGGATGGACACCAGAGCACAACAGGAAAGCAAACAGCTCTCCTTCTGGTGGCGAAACTGGAGGTTTCATCAGTGTAGAATATGATAAACACTGCTATGTAGTGAGAGGGCACTGCCAACAGAATCCCAAATGTTTTGGCATCTCACAAGCTTTTGATTTAAATACTTAAGTCTCAGTGTGCTATGGATTTTTGAGGTGTTTCAGAAAATTTTTTCTCTAATAATTAAAAAATATTATAAATGGACATTTGGAACAATCAGGGCTAAGGGGAGATTCCGAGGTGCATTAGAAGTACTGAAGTAGTATCTCTGGCGCCCCCTGCTGTCACCGAGTGTATTTTGGGGAATGAGCACTGCTGTCCCAAGTGCCAGAGACTAGAGCAGGGTTGCCCACCTGCAGTGCAGAGCTCCCACATTGTATAGTTGCAGTAAGATTTGGGAACCCTTAAAATAAAGAATATGGGCATTAGATTTACTTGGGAATATACATTTACTTATATGTGAAAAGCTCTTATTGACATGAATGTTCCAGTTTTGTACACATTCTCTAGAATGGGAAGAAAAAGGAACTCCTTTATTCTAGTAGGAGTTCAGGTTCTTTTCCATATTTGAACCTCCTATGCAGAGGTGGGCTTAGGGTGACTTCAAAGGATTAGGACTGAATGGTGTCTTCCTTTCCCGAATATCTCATCTACCCATGCCCACATGTATTTATTTGCCCTCTAATGTTTTATTTTTCATGTCTTAAAGAGACCAGTTTCCTTTTAATATTCTAATGATTGATGATTTTATATTTCTCATTTGGCTTAGTTGCTGAGAAAGAGCTGGAGAACCTGGAGAAGTGGAAGGAGCAACATAGAGCGAAGCCAGTTAACCTGGTACCAACGAGGCTAGGTAAGCAAGCAAAGTGGTCATCTGAATAGAGTAAAACAGGACATATGTCAGTCCTGTTAGCACCTTGTGTAGGCCTGTCTTTCACTGTATCTTACAGGTGGTTGGGTCACTGTGCTTCTTGGAATGGAGTGCATTTAAAATTGAAACAAGTATGCAGATATATTTTTGTTTCTAATTTTCTGCAAGGAGCAAACATGTGATACCACACAGTTATGTGGGAATAGTGATAACTTAATTGCCAAACAATTTAGAGCCTTTTAGATGAACAACTCTGAAGAAATCTTACCTGGGGTGCTGCGTATACCCCATCATAGCACTAGTCGTGATGGGAGTAAAGGTATCACAAGCATATGAATCATGGCACTTAATGGCAATGGGGGAAAAAGGAATGGAACTCAAAACTAAGACAGGAGTGAGCTGGGGGCCCAGTGGTCGGTATAAAGGGAAGCATCACCTCTGTTTTTATTCTACAGATAGAGACCTTTTGGTCTCTGACACATGCTGCCAGTGTGATGAATTGTCTTGGCTGCCTTTGCCAGTGTTTAAATCTTCCAGTGGGGAGGCCACCTAATAGGAATCATTCAGTCCTTTCTTCCCTTTTTTTTCCTAGCAGCAGCTAAAAACGTAAAGGGTTGGGTACAGTTTCCACAGATTCCGTTAATGCAAATGTGTCAAGCAACAAGGGCCATGTACTGTCACAATAGTTTTAGAGAAATATTTTTTCCAGGATATAGGTAACAATAAGCCAATTTGGAAATCATTAATGGATGAAAGTAGTAGTACTGTCACCATACCCCCACTATGAAAAGGGTTAATCTTCAGTGTGACCTTTACACCGAATAAGCCAGGTGTGAGAGGTACAACCAGGAAACAGCTTTGTCCTTCCTAAGCGATTCCCTCAAACCAGCTCTGTGGGACTAGTTTGCTCCTTTAATGTTTGGATTAAATTATCTCTTTTTGATCTTTCTCAACTAATAAAGTTGTTCAGCCAATTCTAGGCATAAAACAATGTCATTTCAGTAATTAACCTTCAGTCCCGCTACTGGGCAAATTGTTATTAATAAAGATTAAAACTTCCTCCATGCTCCAGCCCAGGTATATTTAGGGGAAAAGGTTAGCAAAGGAAATGGGGCATATGGAATTTTTATCTCCAGACTGCCCTGCTTCCATATTCCGATTCCTTAAGGCTCAAAAAGAGAAGGGGAGAGAAGGGTGATAAGGTCTATAGTGTCCTGATCCTGGTTTCTTAGCCTTGATATATGTTTACTGTGCATCCATGTCTCCCCTCTATCCCTCCTTCCCACCACCTCTACCCTCTCCAGGGTCCTTGGAGTTCTTCAGATACCCTCCTTGCCTCCTTTGACCTAGATTCTCTTTCCTGCTGTCACCCGTAGCTTCACCATTGGCTCTTGGTAGGTAGACTTTCTCAGTAGAGCTGCTTTTGTTTCTCTAGGTGGCTCACATGGGCAAGTCTCTTTAGGACAGCTTTAGATTAACATTCTCCTTAATAACAACTCAGATTAGGAGTATGGGAAACACAAACTCTGGGAAAACAGGCCGTTTGCCATGCAGCCACCTCTTGTTGGTGACCCATTGAGTAGACAACTGACAACAGCCTTTTCTAGTCATGGGTTCACTAGGTCCCTCAGTCTCTTGAAGGAATGGATTGAGATCACCAAGTGATTTTCATTCAGCGTCTCTTATTCATCTTTCCTCCTTCCCCAAAGACACAAAGAAGATCAAATCCACAAAGACATCCTTTGATTTCTACCTCCCTTTGCCTTATTCAACCATTTTTATAGGCTAAAGGTAGTTGTAACTAAAAGTTTTCTAAACTTGTTCAGTTACCTCCTTAAAGATTCTGCTTAGGGATCCAGGTACTTTGTTTTGGATTTTTGGAATGGTTGGCTACTATTGTCTTCAGGCCTTAGGTAAAAATGAACAGAATCTCATTTTTGACTTATCTGGAAATGGCCATGGATATCTGTGTGGAAAGAGGTGAGGGGGTAGAAAAAGAAGTTTCAGAGTGTACTAAACTTTATGACGATTTTTGAATAAAACCTGTAAATGCTTATAAATCTATCTTCATTTATTTTTATTCTCAGCTCTTCCCCTATACCTCTACTCTTTAAAATATTGGAATAGTTTGAGGAGATTCTGAAAGTGGCTGTAACATTATATAAAAGCTTTAATAGCCTTCACTTTTCCCCTCCTTTCCTCCATGCCCCACAATAGAAATGAAAGGGCCCAAACCATACAGGCTTTATATATCTTTTGGGACTCAGACAAGAAGTTCCTATGGTGTCTTTATCAGTTCAATTATAAAAATCATGGTGATGCAATTTATTTTAATGCATCTTCTGTGAGAGTGAATCAGAGAACTGACACATTTAGTGACCAAAACACCAAAGAATTATTTCAAAGGGATTTTAATTATACACATACCATGCTTGCATAAACACTAAGAAATCCCTAAAGAGCAATTCTTAGAAGATGATTATCAAGCTGCATTATGGCCCCAAATTATTTTAGGTTTAAGAGGGAGCAGGCAAATAATCTAACATTCATATTTATCTCATGAGTACCTAAAGGAAGAACAATAAATAGTATAGATTGACAATCAATTATGAATAAGAATATTGCTATTGTACTTTTAAAAATTGGGTTACAAAGAACTCATATTTGTCTAGTGGCAAGAGCCCTGAGGGTTTCCTGAGCTTTGCCACTTGAATCAGGACAATAGGGTAGGAAGAAGAAAAGCTAGTGAAGCATCATTGATAATAATCCTTATCATGGTTAAGAAATGGTCATACTTAAGCAGAAGGAATGTTCTAGAATTTCCAAAACAAGCAGTATTTCTTATTTAGTATAGAACTTGAAGTATGATTTCCATCTAAATGAAAACTTGAATATTGACACAACTGGAAAACTCAAATAGGATTGTCCTGTTCTTTTAGGAATATGGTCTATCTGTCTATCTTTTAAGTGATGGTCATTCTTTAACGTCTTATTAAGAGAACTGGTTATGTCCTTATTTCTAGAGGTATGAAAATGTTAAAGAAACTCATTGTGTAGTCTTATCATGTATTAATTAGTTTTTGATGGCTGACATTTTAGGTTAACATTCATGTTTCAACTTTGTGACTTTTTTCCTTAGGTGGAAGCCAATCAGAGGCTGAAGTCAGGCAGAAACAACAACTCCAACTGAAGCAATCCAAATACCAGCAAAAGGTCAGAATCTATCTCTTTTAGTTTAATTTTGGCAAGGAATTGAGCACCAGCACTTTCTAGTAGCCATGAAATAACACAGTAACTTACAGAAACATAAAACCTTTCAAGCAATTGCAAAAGGAAACTCTCAAAGGCAAAGAAATCAGGAGCTGAAGAGAGATATATCTAGAATTTTTATCCAAGCCATACATTAGTCAGCAGCACCCCTGTTTTTCCCCCCCCTCTAGTTTAACTCTATTATGTTTTGAATATTTTGCTTTTAATAACATGGATTTGTTTACTGGATAGCAGTCATTGAAGTATTAAAAAAAAAAAGTATTTAAGGTGCTTAGTGATTTTTTACAATGCATGTCATGAGTTTTATAATCAGTAACAATTTTCGGCCCACCTTTTTCTCTTCCCACCCAGATTTGGGAAGAGGGGGTGGGAGATGACAGACAGAGACCCAGGAAAAAATACAAAGAGAAATTTCATATGCAGGAGAAGTAGCCTGGCCAGTTTCAGTGCTCTAAGTACTTGAAATACCAACCTATAATCATGGCGAGGTAGAGCACAAACAATACTGTAATTTGCCTTTCATCATAATTTTGTGTTCCAGAGATCAGACTGAAAAATAGTAACTGTTTTTGTCCTCTGTAATTTCAATACATTTTAGCTAAAAAGAGAAGAATCTGTAAGAATCAAGAAAGAAGCTGAAGAAGCCGAAATCCAAAAAATGAAGGCAATTCAGAGAGAGAAGGTAAGACAGTGGAGAAGATGATTAGTTAACGTTGAATGAGGGTATTTTATGTGTCAGGTTCTTTTCTAGACATGGTCAATGTGCAAACTTATTTAATCCTCCTAATAATCCTATGAAGTACATATTATTCTTATTAGCCAAGTTTACAAATAAGGAAACTGACACAGAGCAGGTAAATAATTTGCCCAGGGCTTACAGCCAGTAAATAGAAGTAGGATTCAAATCCAGGCTAATGGGTATCAGAGCTAGAGTTCTTAGTCACAGCACTATCTTGACTCTCAGGCAAATAATCAAAGCAGTCACTATATATTTGTATATAAGCATAGCAGTTAGTAATCATGGCAATTAGTGGTGGACCGCCATATTTATAACCAAATACTGACTTTTCCAAGTGAATGCAAAATAAGTAAACATACTCACTTACTGATAGAAGAGAAAGTGCACATTTGCATTTCAGTATTAGAAATATAATCTAAACCTCAAAGTGTTTTTAGTTTTGATACTCATTCTGGGCTTGGGGAAATAAACCTCCTAAAAATGTTCATTTGCTAGAGAAGAAGGAAGAACGTAGTGTTATTCTCCCTTACCCCTGTTTCCTACCATCATTCCTCACAAAGTCCTAAGCTGTAGCAGGTTTTAAATGCTGAAGGTTTAGGGGCAAAGAGTTGACTCATGATGCTGACTACCAAGTATGAAACCTGCTGCAGGTGTAAGTCATGGAAGCACAAGTGCTATTCCTGCTGTCTGTGTCTCTCTCCCTTCCCCTCCTCTTTTCTCTTTTTCTTTTAAAGATTGAGTGTTGGTCAAGATCTAAACCTGGTTACCAAACAATAAATATTTTTACCAGTTAGAGTTCATGAAGCCAAAAGCTGGTGACTTACAGGATGTGTGACTTACATTATGTGTGAGCCTTTTCCTCCCCAGAGGACCTCTCTACCTGCTGGGGAGCAGACTGAGTTTTTCTTGGAAGTGTCCTGTTGTGTTATGTGACGTTGAGCATACTGTACCCTTCCCTCAATTATTTCTGTAAAATGAGTCTATAAGCCCCACCTCCTCTTCTCCCAAGGTCCAGTAGCATCTGTGGATTTCACTGCTATATCTGTAGATGTGTTGGCGTTGGGGAGGAGATAAGACTGGACTTATTCACGTGGAACTGTAGTGAAATGCTGAAGGTATTATATAAGAAAAATATACAGGAAGTTGGTGTATAAAATTTGATTTAGTAATCTATTTTCAACTGATCAGTCATTATCAGTCATTATACCCTCATTAAAAACATCTTTATTACAATAACATTTTTAAACCCATCTTTCTATTTTTCTCTCCCTTACTCTTTTTTTTTTAATCCAACTCCCCTCCCCAATTTTCTCCTTCAGAGGAAGGTTCACACATTGGTCTTTTGCTTGTAGAGGAGTGTCCCTCACATAGAACAAGTCTATGCGCATTGCAGGCAGAGCTAAGAAAATCATTAAATCATTACCAAGAACTGATTGAAGAGGCATGCAGATCCTGAAGAATTATTGTGTTGCAACCGCTTAACCTAAAAGTCATTTATTAGTTGTCATTTAATATCCATGGCTTGTGGGTCATTTATAGCTCATTTCTTCAAGGCTCAAGTAATGCATACAATTTAGAAATGTTAGTGGCTGAAATGGTTTCCTTTAAAATTGAGTAAAAGCAGCATTTTCCTATTTCCAACTTATGCCATAACACTAGATGTCCATCAATCACTAACTATAGAAATTTTAATTGGGTTGGCTTTTATAATATGACTAGAGGCCCAGTGCATGAAATTCGTGCACTTGAGGGGTGGGAGGGAGTGTCCCTCAACTCAGCCTGTGCCCTCTTGCAGTCTGGAAGCTTTCAGGGAGCGGGACTAAGCAGGCAGTTGGACAACCATAGTGCTACTGTGGAAGTAGGAGAGGCTCCCACCATCGTGGCTGCGCTCACCAGCCATAAACTGGGCTTCTGGCTGAGTTGCACTCCCCCTGTGGGAGCACACTGACCACCAGGGGGCAGTTCTTGAATTGAGCATCCGCCCCCTGGTGGTCAGTGCACATCATAGCGACAGGTCATTCCTCTGTTTAGTTAATTTGTATATTAGCTTTTCATTATATAGGATAACTGTAATAATTATTAGTATAAATTTGCCTGAAAGTGACAGAAGGGAAGACAAGAATTGATATGTAGGTCTTTTCCATTCAAGGTATGGTCCCAACTACCAGCACTGGCATCACTAGTGAGAAATGCAGAATCTTAAGCCCCGCCACAGACCCTCTGACTCAGAACCTGCACTTTAACAGGCTCTCCAACTGACCCTCATGCACATAAACATTTGGGGAGCATTAATCTAAACTACCTTACAAGAGAATGAGCAGACTTGGGTCTTTGCACAGACTTGATTTCTTGTCTAATTGGCTTAGTGTTTCCTGCTGTATATAAATCTGTGGCTTTCATACTAAATGTGAGCCTGTTCAGCAGCTTGCCTCAGATAAATGAAAAATGGACATTAGCCATCTAGAAATGGCGTGCTTCACATTGCCATGTGAAAATGGCCAAGGGAAGTGATAATGGCTGTACTTACAGAGCATTTATTTGTTTAAAATGCACAAAAAAACACACTCTTGGACACCAGCCTGCAAAATATAACTCCTCCTTCCCTGGAAAATGGCTGCTGTCCAGGAACTCTGAGCCAAGTAGAATCCAAGCAGCCCATGGCCACCTGAGAGCCTCTAGCTTGGCTGCAGGTCTTCACCCTCTTGGGTTCTTTTTGGGTCTCTTTTTGACTGGTCAGCATCTGTGAGAGAATGAGGGGAGAGTAAACTGCAGTCTGCCAACACATGTGGGTGTTCCTTGGTTCTTAATAAGCACCTGGGTGTGAATGGCAGCCAGATCTTTAGCTTGTGGTCAGGAAGGTGGGGCCGAGGAGGAGTTAATTCTAAGGGTGAAAGGGGGACTTACAGAGACACTAGTATGCTTCAGTCAAACATGTGTGTGTTCTCTATACTAGAGTATGCTGGTGCTATGTAACCTTCCCAGGTGTGCTGGAGCCTCCTTATTCTGGTTCAAGAGAGTGGATGGTTACATTCTCAAAATTTATTTAAACTAGTTGGCTCTATGTTGGGAGCTTAAAACTAACCACGTGGGAGTAATTTCATCACAGAAAGCAGTAAATAATTTTTGTCAGACTTTCATAATGCCCATAGATCAGCCCACCTCCTCCTCCCTGCTAGAGAGGGTTGTTAAGTTTATCAGCACACCACTGCTTAGTCCTAAATGAAATAAGTTCTCTCTCCCCTCCCCTCCCACCCACATTTCAAAGCCAAGCCTCAGAGGGCTAAGGAGGGAAAGAATTTGTGAAGTATCTGGCACATTATGTGTCTAATATTTATTTAACAATAGATTTAATCCATGTGGTAGGCAGAATATTGTTCCCTTCCTGTCCCTCCATATTCTGATCCCTGGAACCTAAGATTGTGTCATGTTACCTGGCAAAAAGGAATTAAGTTTGCAGCTGGGATTCTATATAATAAAGAGATAATATGCAAACTGACCCTCACACCCTCCAAGGTGGTTACCTATGACCAGGTTGGCAGGGAGGTTAGTGAGGGATGGACAAATGACTGAAAATGCAGGCTGCATAGGGCAACCAGGCCAGCAGGGGTGTTGGTGAGGGATGACCAAATAACTGAACAGCAGGCTGTGTGGGATGACCAGGCTGGCTGGAGGGGGGGTGGGGAGTGGGGCAGTTCAAGGCAACCAGACAGGCAGAGGGGGGAAATTGGGGGTGACCAGGCTGGTAGTGGGGGGCAGTAAGGGGTGACCAAGATGGCCTAAACTGGCAGTCAGATATCCCTAAGGGATCCCAGATTGGAGAGGGTTCAGGCTGGGCTGAGGGGACCCCCCATGTGCACTAATTTCATGCACCAGGCCTCTAGTTAGTTTTAATAGTTGACTTACCTTCAAATAGGGAGAGTATCATGCATTATCTAGGTAGGTCCAGTGTAACCATGAGGGTCCTTAAATTGGAAGAGGAAAGCAGGTGATTGAGAGCATGGAAGGATGGGAGTAGGAGAAAGGCTTAGTGCCACTGCTGGCTCTGACAAGGGAGGGAGAATCTCTAAGAAGGTGGAAAAAGCAAGGGAAGAAATTCTCCTCCAGAAGGTAGGCAGACCTGCTGACAGCTTGATTTTAGCCCAGTGGGACTCATTTTGGATTTCTGACCTCTAGAACTGTATGATATTAATAATGTCTGTTACTTTAGGCACTGTTTGTGGTGAATTGTTACAGTAGTGATGGGAAGTTAATACAACTCGTGTGGTTTTATAATGATGTATTAATGTCTCTTCCTGGAAATCCGTAAAGCAGAGAAAACATCTCTAAAATATTTAGAGCATCGGAGTGGAAGAAAGTTATTAAAAATAATAAAACGGCAGCATACCCGATGCAACTGCTTTCTTTGCCACTGGATTTTACAGCACAAGCAGACGAGCTTTCATAAATCCTCGCAGCAGCATTTCCCTGGAATTTAGTGCTGTGGGAGTGAACCTCCACCATGCTTTCCCCTCATGATCACACTCATTTTTCTCAACTTTTATATTGCCCACAAACTTAAAAGTGAAAATCTTTCAATTCTATGTAAAAGACACTCCCTACCTCCTGGGTTAATCTTGTTCTGCCTTCAAGCTACTTGTGCTTGAAATAATATTATAAAGTGCTATATGGTTTACAAATACTTTCTCTTAACTCTTCAAATCTCTTGGGGTATCATAACCTCAGAAAGGGCAAGAAAACAGGGAGAGAGATCTGAGTGGCATCCAAAGCCTTTCCTTGCTCTTTCCAATAAGCCATAAAATCATAAAGCTGGTGAAGTTATTTGGAGCACTGGAGGTCACAATGTTTTATGTAGACAAGAGGAACTGTTATTATTTTTAATGCTATAAAGTGAAGTGGGAACTCACCAGTAAAAAATGAGGTGTACATATCAGATGCAGAGATGC